AATAAACATGGGTCCTTGTCGAAATTCATCGGTCAAGACATAAAAAATAAAAATAAGATAAATTTACAAGTCCATAATAACTAAAAAAAATAAAATTGATATGGGCCTTAAGCCCGTATCACTTGTTATGCCACTTTAAAATATAAAATTAGGTCCGAGGTCAAATGAAGAGCTAAATCTACAACAAGAAGAAATTAGTCACATGATAAATTAAAATTAACTAAAGACAATAGTCATAAAAATAAAAATAAAATAAAATAAAATAAAATAACAAGAAAAGGCTCGTCATTGGAATAAAATTGATCTTAGGTCCTAAATCTACTCTATCTAGGGTGACCTACATTGGCATCACATAGAAAAAATATATAAGTGTAAGACATAAAAACATGTAAAAAATTCAAAGAGCACATCAAAACAACTTCATGAAAAATAAAATAACCAATAGGCCTCCATAAGGACCTCGGCTAATAAATTCAGATTTGGCTTATTTTAATTTTCTATTAAAAAAATATTACTAGCCTATTTCTAGCTTCAATCATTGATTGACAATTTTACGGGGACTTTTTACATGGAAAATAATATGCAATATGCCACCTTTAAACCCTTTTTTTTTTTTAATAATAACAATAAGTATATACCAAAAAATAAAAAATAAAATATAAAAATAAGAAAGCCCTTAAAAAATACTAAATACTTCCTACCCCGATAAAATTACATATAAACATCAAAAAATTTGAATTTAAATAATTTTAAATCTTTCAAATAACATCAATAACTCTTAATTCAAATCTTTTCAATTAAGCTCACATTAAATAATTTTAATTCAATTAATCATATCAATCATATGTTAATCACATAATTGATATTATAAAATATAAATCAATAATATAATCATATGTTAATCATATGATTGATATTATAGAATATAAATCAATAATATAATCATCCAATCCATAGAATTTTAGATGAAAATTAAACACAAAACATGTTCAAGCATAGAGGTATAATTGTGAAATCGAAGTTTGGGGACTAAATTGAACACAAGCAAAACAAAAGGAGGAAGACGAGACCTAGCAAATGTGGCATATGCTCGAGGCGTCGTCAGAGCTACTCACGTGCGTAAGAGAGTGTTAGACATTGGATAGATGGCGTTGACTTCGACTCTTGCTTTCTAATCATGGCGATATGACACATATAAGCTTTCGTTGACTAGAGGAGGAGCGAGTGGTACTATGAACTTTGACTACTATCTTTGGCTTTTTATGTTTTGTTTTTTTTTAATAGCTAGGTTGTTTATTTTTTTCCTTAAGTGGTTATCCCTCCTCCACACACACGCACACACATTTTGTGTATGTGTGTATGCCTAGTATTTATAGGGGTGCTTCAGGGTTAACCTAGAATTTTTTTCCTATTCTGATTTTCCTCTTTTATTATTAATCAAGCTTAACCTAATGCTTAATCCAGGCCCATTCATCCTTTTTTTCTTTTTCTTTTTCAATCCTGACCTAAGCCCGATTCCTCTTTTTTTTTTTTTTTTTCATTTTCTCATTATTTTTCTTTTTTGTATTTTTTAGAGGGTAAAAATAGGGTGATGTCAATTATCCACTCTTTACAATGCTTACATGTCAAAGATGTAAGAAGACAAGTCTTCAAACATCTTGACTTAGTGAGCTTGTAAAGAAAAGATGTGATATAAAAATGATAAGTTTAAAGAAATGAACCATATAGGGATGATTCAACCTTGAAAATGAATCAAATATACAAATCATCTTAAGTGATTTGATTTTAAAAATGAATCAAATATATGAACCGTCTTAGGGTGATTTGATTTTTAAAAATATGTGAATATACAAACTCTCTTAGAGTGAAGCAATCAAATGTATGAGCACTTTTAGGGGGAAAATCAATCAAATATAAGAACTCTTTCGGAGTGATTTGATTTTAGAAAAGAGAATACATCAAATATATGAATCCTCATGGGGTGAAGAAATATATGAATCCTCTTGTGATGTTGGATAATCTTCTAAACGAGGAAGATTAATCATCTCGAAAGAGTGACTACCTTGACTTTTTTTGAAAAATTAGTAATCTCGATAGGTTGACCACTTGGATTTTTTCAAACTTGGTCATCTCAATATACTAACCATTTGAATTTTTCTTTTACAAACTACTTACTCGATAGGGTGATCACTTGGACATTTATAAATGAATGGCTTGTGGAGAAGAGATATGATTAAAAAGAGACAAATGGGCCGGTTATTAAGGGGTGAGCTCTAGCAAATGGTTAACTATGACAAGGCGAGCTCCTAGCAAATAGTTCACTATGATAAGGTGACCTCCTTATAAGTGGTTCATTATGACATAGTGACCTCCTGGCAAGTGGTTCACTATTATAAGGTGATCTCCTGGTAAGTGATTCACTAAAACTAGATAACCTTTTGGTAGGCGATTCACTATGACAAGATGACCTTCTAGTAAATGGTTCATTATTTAGGGTGATCTCCCGATAACTAGTTCATTAAGAAAGGATTAAATTCTAGTAATTTTGGAACTTAATCAACTCGATAGGGTGACCACTTGAAATTTGTTTTGAAATCGATCATCTCGATAAGGTGACCACTTAGACATTATTTTGAAATTTGGTCATCTTTACGGGGTGACTACCTCAACATTTTTAAAAACTTGGTTATTTAACGGGGAGACCACCTAAAATTTTATGAAAACTTGGCTTATGATGAATAACCTTAAATGGAAAAGTTTGTTCATATTCATGCTCAAGTTTTCTTTATTTATAGCAATGACAGATTATTGGTTACGTAAGGATAATACCTTAAAGAGAAGTCTAGGTCGCACCTTACAAAACTTAACTTTTTGTATCAAATTTGTAGAATCAATGACAGATTATTGGTTACTGTAAGGATAATACCTTAAAGAGATAGTCGAGGTCGCACCTTACAAAACTTAACTTTTTGTATCAAATTTGTAGAATCAACTCAAATCTCATATCTTGACTACTAATTTGGTAGTCCTTTTAGAATAAATGTTGTATAAGCTCGCTTGTCATTTTGCTTTGCCTATAGAAATGTGATTCCATCCCCTATCATTGGGTCATACAGCCCCCAATTATGGTCATAGCCTTTGAATCATCTTCATGCCCCCATTTCTTATGAATTCTTGATGAGAATGTTTATATGCCTTCATCAAGCATGGACACATGTTGAGCTGTGTTTGTACGCCACCAAGATGCTTGCCAATTGGTCATATCTTACTATTCTCATAATGTCTATATTTCATTCATTTCATCATTGAGAAACACTTGATGCCATATTTTTATCCATTTTGAGTCATTATGCCTTGGATCCAATTATTTTTATACCGTCTACATGCCTTTAGTTTAACTGATATGCTATCAATCATGCACTTTTACATTCTAGTCTTATTTAGCTAATTGATCTGTAATCAACTTCATCCTTAATGATTCATTTATTTAGCTCTTTATCTTGTTCTTTGCTAATTTTTTTTAACCTAACAACATCGTTATGAAACAAATCATTTTGTTTTGAACCAATTAACCAAATTTAATGGATTTTTCCTTATCAATCCACAATATTATAAAAAAAATTTAGAGATGTGCATCCAAAAGTATTCTCAATCATGAATTGTTTGATTGATTGGTTATAAGCCAAAATATATCATTCAAATACTAGGTTACAATAATTTTTAGGTTGCAAAAGAGTTTTTGTAAATGGAAATCCTTTAGTACTCTTTGTAAAGTGATCAAAAGTTTGGTTGAGTTTGAAAGTGAAAGGCTTAGATGGTACTTTTGTAAAATATGAGGTCATATTTAGAATAGGTCGACCTTAAAACATGATTTTTAATTTGAAATGATAGCCTTACCTTGTCCTTTCTTACAATTGGATGTTATAAAAAATGATGTGGAACATACAAATGGATAAAACAAATCACTCCTTTTTTCTCTTTAAGGATATAACTTGTCGGCCTAAACAATCATTTTGATTAAAAAAGATTTTAAAAGCATGTAATGTAGGTTGGTGTTCGGGTCTCAAAGAAAAAGGTATAAAAGCTCAAAGTGTATTTAAGGGTTTGAAGACTAAGGACCCGATAAAGCCCATAAGGAAATCGAAAGCAAATGAAAATTAAATAGTAATCCGGAAAGGAATTGTGATTTGTGTATATTGGGTAACGATAATAACGAGTTTACAGAGTACTCGATGGCTTTAAAGAGGCCATTTTCTTTCCACGACCCCAAGGCCACGATAGAATCTCCTTTTTTTCCAAAAAGGTCCCCCCACATTACTCATTCTTGTATTTTATTTTACTAGTGGCATAACAAACTCTGCCACATTAGCATAACGGAACAAAAGGCACTGCAGCGGACATAAACAATTCACTCACACAAAACATATATGTAAAACGTCGGAGGCAATATCAATACACGGCACGGTTCCTATTTTCCTTTTTCCTTGAGTAAACATTATGGATAGAAGAAGGCTGGGCCCTTATCAATACTCCTCCGTGCACATCCACCTTGTCCTCAACGTGGAAGGAAAGAAATTGTGCTTTAATAAACTCCACAAGTTCCCATATAGCTTCAAAATCATGAAGATGCTTTCACCTAATCAACATTTCCTTGCCTATAGGGTTGTCCCTAAATTGCAAATCCCACTCGGGCTCGACTTCCCATTCAAATTCAACATTCAAGACCGAAGGCAAAGGCTAGATGGGAATACACTCTTTGTTGTTTTCTTCAGCTGAGACACATAGAACACGTGATGTATAGCGGTTGTGGAAGGAAGATCAAGCTTATAGGAAACTTGTCCAATACATTGCGGGATAGGATAGGGCCCGAAAAATCTAAGGGATAACTTTTCATTTAGTTTTCGAGCTAAGGAATGCGACGGTATGGTCTAAGTTTGAGATATACTTGATTGCCCACTTCACACTTCATAACCCGACGATGGTTATCGGCTTGTTTCTTCATGGCATTCTATGCTAGTGTAAGTCGGTCCTTGAGTTCATTCGAGCATGAAGTCCCTTTCTTGGAGCATCTCATCAATACTAAAGTTGACGAGTGCCATGCGGTTCATATTACAACAAGGGTGGTGGTTCATGTCCATAGACAATACGAGAATGGGGAGTGCTTTGTGGTCTGTGTGAAAGGTCGTATTATACTAGAATTCAGCCCGGTGAATCCATCTAGACCAATCCTTGGGTTTGCCACTAGCAAAGCAATGTAAGTAGGCCTCGAGACAACGGTTGACAATTTCACTTTGGCCATCACTTTTGGGGTGATACTCTATGCTTCTCCTTAACTTAGTGCTCTACAACTGGAATAATTCCACCCAAAAATTACTCATAAACACTTTGTCGAAGTCGAGATAATTGAACCATGGGAAGCCATGTAACTTCACCACATGAAAAATGAACTCTTCGACCACCTTTTTGGTAGTGTATGGGTGTTTCAACGGTATAAAGTGAGTATACTTACTCAAGCGATCTACCACCATGAACATGGAGTCGAATCCATAGGATCTCGACAGCCCCTTTATAAAATTCATGGCTATATCCTCCTACATCGCTTAAGGAAGAAGTATTGGATGTAACAAAACAGCTAGGGATAATGTTTCATATTTGTTTTCTTGACAAGTATGACATTCGAAACAAACTTCTTTACATCAACCTTTAATCCTTCCCAATAAAGTACAGCGATGACTCTTTTATAAGTCTTCGAGGAATCCCCATGTCCCCCAATGGGATTACAATGGAACTCGACAAGGATTTTCGAAATCAATGGGGAAGCTCGAAGGAGTACTACTGTTGTTTGAAGCAAATCAAGTTGTTCTTAATGAACCGAGCTTGGTTTGGCGTTAAGATCGACGAGCATGTCCCGCATAATTAGTTACAATTTCGGATCCAAACTCATGTTATGTTTAATCGTCCCTAATCCGGAATAGTATGAATAGATAGCACTTGTAACTCCGTCCTTGTAAGGACCGAGAGAGAGCATCTACTTGCCTTATTTTCAATGCTTGGTCGGTGCTTGAATCTCAAAGTCGTACCCTATTAATTTGGTGAGCCAACGTTGGTATTCTAGGGCCACCATGCGTTCCTCCAAGAGATATTTTAAGCTTCGTTGGTCTATTTTCACCATAAAATGCCTCGCCAGGAGATAATGATGCCACTTTTGTATGGCTAAGACGATGGCTATCAATTCTCGCTCATATACTGATTTGAATCAAGAGCGATCTATTAGAGCTCGATCGAAGAAAGCTATTGGCACGTCATGTTGGACCGAACCGCCCCTATTCCCACTCTTGATGCATCAATCTCCAGCTTCAAAAACAACATTAAACCCTCGTAAGGCTAGGATGGGTGCTGATTTCATAGCCTCTTTTAATTGTCGAATTGTAATCGTCGTTGCCTCATTCCACTCAAAATTATCCTTTTTTAACAATTTGCATTAGGATGGCTGCCATCTTTCCATAGCCTTTCACAAAACATCTATAATATCCATTCAAACCAAGAAATCCCCTTAACTCTTTGAAAGTTTTAGGAATAGGCCGGTCATCCATTGCCCGTACTTTCTCCAAGTCTACGACCACTCCTTTCTCCGAAATGATATGGCCTAGATATTTCAACTCATTTTTACGAAACAACACTTCTTGAAATTGACAAACAAATCATGAGTGCGTAAAAGGGTCGAGACCTCGATCAAGTGTTGTAAGTGTTCCTTAACCGAATTGCTATAAACCGAGTATATCGTCAAAGAAAACGAGGACATATCTTCTTAATAGGCCCTTAAAAATTGAATTCATTAAAGATTGAAATATAGCCGATGCATTCGTCAACCTAAAGGGCATAACCAAGAACTCATATTGCCCATCGTGTGTGCGAAAAGCCGTTTTATGCACGTGCTTGAGGCGGAATGCGTATCTAATGGTATCCAAATTTTAGGTCAAACTTTGTGAAAATCTTAACTCCATAAAGCTCATCAAGCGGCTCATCTATGTTCAAAATCGAAAAATGGTCTAGAATTGTGGCTTTATTCAAAACTCTATAATCGACACAAAATCTCTAACTCCCGTCCTTCTTCCTTACCAACGAGTACCGGACTCGAGAAAGACCTATTGTTGGGCCTGATAATCCCAATCGATAACATTTACGCCATTAGCCTCTCTATCTTGCTTTTCTATATCCGAGGGTATCTATAGGGCCTCAAATTGATGGGTGAGGTCCTTTCTTGCAACACGATAGCGTAGTTATGACCATGGCTTGATGGTAGCTCCATCGAGGTTTTGAACACATTCTCAAACTCGGATAGTAGACCTCGAACTGATGGGTGTACTTCGGGGATGCTAGTATGCTCGGCAACCTCAATATGGCATAATTCCACTAACAACCCCTCTTTCTCTTGTTGTATTGCCTTGACCATGGATTTAAGGGAAATCATGGCTTTGCTTAGGCGGGGTCACCTTGAAGCACTATTATTTTTTCACCCATTTTGATTGTCATAGTAAGTCGGCACCAATCATCCTTCGTCTCTCCTAAGGTTGAAAGCCACTTTAACCCGAGTATCATATCGGAGTCGCCAAGCTTTAGGGGAAGAAAATCTTCTACAATGGTCAAACCTTGTAACTTAAGAACCACCCCTTGCATACTCCCTACCTTTTTAAACGATTCTCGAAACCAATATTCAACGTATAGTTGGGTATCTCATCAATAGGAAGTTTCAAGGCTATGACTAGCTGATGAAATAAAGATGTGTCACTCCACGATCAATCAACACTACCATCAAAGTTCCCTCAATTTCTCCCTTCATTCTCAAGGTCTTTAGTTTGGTTAATTCCCATTATTGAGTTGATTGATAGTTCTACACTTTGTAATTCTTCATCTGCCACGTTCTCTACTTGCATAAGAGTCTTTTTCGTCACCACGACCTTCACTCACTAAGAGCATATGTAGCTCCTTATTCTTATATCTATGCCTAATGTGCCATTTCTCATCACATCTATAACATAACCCTTGGTCTCGATGAGATTGAGCCTCTGTAGCTGAAAGTCTCTTGAATTGGGTGTTGGTTATTTGTGAGGGATTGGGTTTTTGATTGGAGATGTTATTGGATAACCATGTAATGTAGAGCTTCTATTGATTTGTTGAGTGAAAGTGGGATGGTTTCGAATTGGATGTGGTATCGTATATGATATTTGTGGCTTTGGATGGAGTCTATGTCATCGACTTCGTTCAAATTTGGTTTGAATTGAAGGGGTTTTTAGTGGGTTTTAGGCTTAGTGTGTGGGTCGGAAGCTGGTGCTTGGGTTTCTATTCTAGAGGCCATTTTTATGGTTTCTTTGAGCCCAACTAGGTTATGAACAAGAAGCTCAACCCTTATCTTCTTCCGGAGACATTGCCAAACACTGCCGCTAAGGTGCTTGCCTCTAGTTTTCGACGAAGATGGCTAAATGCTCAAACTAAGCTCTAAACTCGGCTATTGTCTCGTCTTGTTTCACGAAAAAAAAAAGTGCTGCAACATAGTTCCCTCCTTTAGGCCAACAAAGCGGTACAACAATTGGGCATTCGGATTTGCCCACGTTGAAAAAGGGGTATCCCTTTCTTTAAATCGTAGCCGGCACCGAGCCTCTCCTTCAAAACATACTACAGCTACCTCGAGTTTCTCACCATCGATGAGTTTGTTAATGGAAAAGTAGCACTTAGCATGAAAAATCCATGCTCCGAGGTCTACTCCACTAAACATAGAAAACTCGAGTTTTCGATGAAACCGCTCTCTATCCACTATCGATAACACTACCACATTAGGTGGTGATTCGGTTCTCGAGTCGGTGAGGTTCCGCATTAACCCATCCTAGCACTATTGGACTCGGCTAGGTGTTTATGTCTTATGGCTCGTGCATTCACCAACAATTGCATATTTTGATGATTTTTCATCATATCTTGCGCTATCGAAGTTACCACTACTTGTCGGTTCTATCATTTGTTTCTTCATCTCGGTCATCTCTTTCACTTCGGTCTCTATTTACTCTATTCTCGAATCCATTCTCGTTTTGGTCATTACCCCTAGAAGTGGATGCTATGATACCAAAATGATAAAGCCCACAAGGAAATCGAAAGCAAATGAAAATTAAATATGTAATCTAGAAAGGAATTGTGATTTGTGTATATTGGGTAACAATAATAACGAGTTTATAGAGTACTCAATGGCTTTAGAGAGGCCATTTTCTCTCCCCGACCCTAAAGCCATAATAGAATCTCCTTTTTCTAAAAAATGGTCCCCCCACATCATCATTCTCACATTTTATTCTATCGGTGGCATAACAAACTCGCCACATCGGCATAACGGAACAAAAGGCACCCGCAGCGAAGCATAAACAATTCACTCACACAAAACATATACGTAAAATGTCATAGGCAATATCAATACTTGGCCTAGTTCCTCTTCCCTTTTTTCCTCGAGTAGACATTACCGATAGAAGGAGTCGGGCCCTTATCGGGACCACTTGGACCCTCGCGGACGTTTCCTCTTAAATTGATTGCTCTTATAAAATCCTTTTTATTATTGTTGACTTCTCTTGTCGGTGCTTGAATGATACCTTTTATTTTTCTATGAATAATGGTTTTGGCAATTTTGTAATTATCCTTTTTTTCTTTTTTTTAGTGATAAACATGATATGAGCCTCTCATGATTATTATGATAATGGCTCTACTATTTATGAACTTTTTTTTAGCGTTTTTGTTTTGTTTAAGACGTTATTCATCTTTATATTTCAAGCACATTACGCCCTGATGTAGGGGTGATCCTAGTCTTGGGTTATCATTATAAAAATTGATAAGGCTCAAGTAGGGACTGCATGAGGATTTGTATTTGTAAGGGATACTTCAAAGATGGCATTTTATCATCTCAAAACCAATTTGCTCATGCTCGACAAGTTCTAACTATTTTCGAGTGTTGTTTGTTTTGAGAAAATCAAGTTCATGACCTCTTCGTATGCATTTCATCATCATTTAAAACATTAAATCACTAATGATAAGACTTTCACTTGACGTAAAGAGGCTATGTTTTAGGTTTTAAGAAGAATGATTGCCCTTAAATAATTCCATAATATGTTTTTGAATTAGACCAATCTTAGAGGTATTTAGTGAATGCATTTATCATCATATTCCTTCTCTTTATGGATGAAATATGATGTTAAATGATACTTTTAAATGCACATTTCTAAATTTCAAAGTCATATAATGAGAAAATTTGATACCATTAAAATATGCCACTTAGTTTAGCAATATCCCAAATAAAATGTTTTGACGAGATGATGTTTAATAGAAAAGACTCAATTTGCAAAGCACGGGCCAATGTTAGCCCTTTGTGATCTTGACTATACTTAGTTAGTATTTTCACCTTTTGTGTTGGCAATTATATGGTTTGGTAATGGATTGATACTAATGTTTGGTGTGTTGTTATCCGGATAGATCCAATCATGATGAATTAGAGATTGAACTTTTCTCTTAAAATCCACACAACTCGTAATACCATCTACACCAAAGTAGTAGTCATATTTTTTAATCAAACTTGTACCAATGTGAATATGGTAATTGAACTTGATCAGCAAGGATAGGGATAACTTGATTGATATTGTTGAGATACTTGAATAACTCATCTAGAGACATAGGAGGAGGGGATAATATGTCTTGGTATATTATGCTTTGATTGCTTTTGGTCGGAGGCCTCGATTGATAATTAAAAAGTCTGTTGATAGTTTGAAGGTGATGTGAATACATTGCCTATGTCACCATGAACAGTTTTCATAAGAGGTACATATAAAAGTGATGCTTGATTATTTATGTTTCTCATATGGAAAGAGTGATGTTTAAGCACCATTAATTATTGCACTTAGTCTCTAGGTTGAAAATTGATAGACTCTAGTTGATGAAAATCATTATTTTTTTTGCTGCTAAAATTATTCTTTTTTGGACTAGTTTCGAAATCTTTTCTACCTTAATAGCTTGTTTCACTCTTAGAACAATAACCATTGCATTAGTAAAGTTAGGTAATAAATTGCTGATAAGATACTCAAAATAGGGAGCTTTGAAGGTGTTGATAAATATGGAGATAAACTCATTTTCGGTCGAGGGAGGATAGATTTGAGCTTCTACTTCACACCACCTCTAAGCATACTCCTTAATAGACTCTTTCACCATTTTTTCCATGTCTTGTAATGTGCTTTTATCTAGAGACGCCTTTAAATTAAACTTGTATTGACGAACAAAGACATCTACTAGATTTTTCCACCTTTAAATTTTAGCTTTATAAAGACACATGTATAAGCTTAAAGTAGCACCATCCAAACTCTCATAAAAGAAGTGAATTAGCAATTTCACATCATACATAACCTCCGTGATCTTACTACGGTAGACTCAATGGTGAGTTTTCAAGCATTAGGTACTTGTGTATCTTGTGAATTCAAGCATCTTAAATTTTCTTGGGATGACAACATTAGACGGAAAACACATTTCAACATCATTCATTGGGTCATATAGATTCATATCCTCAATCGCCCTTAGGCCCTCCTCAATAGTGGTATCGGTAATCGAATTTAGTTAGCTAGTGGGTCCATTTAAAAGTACGAGAAATGGTATTGAGTGTTAGGATATGACGAAGGCTAAAGATGGGTAGATGCCTCCTAAATTGCGAGCATGGTTAAAGGATAACCAACGATAGAGGGTAATTGTATTACTTTGATACTTGATGTGGAAAAGATGATGAGTTCTTCAATAACTAGTGGCATATGGAAGATAACCCCCTTACGGAACCTCTCATTCATCACTTTTTCATGCATTTTCATTCTAACAAACTAGTTAGTCAAACCATGTCTTTCTTAAGAGCTTCAACCTCATTGATATATTTTTGCTCCAACTAATTTCTTTCTTTGTTCTTCATCCTTCTCATAAGTCTTATATTGTGGATCTTTGATGGAGGTTGAGTGTTTATGATATGACCTATATTTCTCCTAAAATGAATATGTAAAATATAAGACTTAGTGCTTCCACATGAGAACTCGGGGTTAGGCATGATTATGAAATGTGTTTTAAGCTGAAAGGAGCACCATAGCTATCAATCCAATTTCAAAGCCAACGGGGGACTAAAAATCAAGATGGTGTTTACTATTGCTACCATTTCTATTCCAAACTATGCCAATAAGGGCATGGTATATGGATCTAAGAGAGCAAAGCAATCAACATTAATGCTAGTCTTGATAGTCATGGTGTTTTTAAATTAAGACAATGTTATGAATATTTTATACAATAACTTAAACAATGTATGTCCTTTTTTTCTTGAGGGTAGCCTAGGGATAGGTTATCGATTTATCTAGACGTGATTGGTAAGGTTATCTACTTGAAGCTCTATTTTCATGTATAAGGGTTATCGGCTTGCCTTTCGTAGTCTCATGCACAAGGATAAATTTTCCATATGAGTAGAGGGGTAAGTTACGTGAGCTCCGGGATCGCAATCCCTCGATTGCCACCTCTCTCCTTCTAATCTTAGGTAAAAGGACTAAAGTGTATACGAGCTCAAAGACTATTCTTATGTATGTGCTAGTGTGTGCAAAGGGGCCACACATCATATACAAGCCCAAACATCAAAGTAAAATGCACGAGAATATAAGCACATCAAGAGAGAACAAAGATAATTTCCTAAAGTAAGAAACAAGATAAGATTAACCCCTAATTCCTTAGTATAGTCACCATTCTATCATACGATGACCTATTGGTGATCGTAAAAAAAAAAAAAAAAAAAGAAATAAAGATGTATATGTGTGGAGTCGCCATTCGGTTTTTAAAAGGTGAAAACTAAGAAAAACCTTGTACTTGGTCTCAAAAGTTTTAGGTAAGGAGTTGATTAAACCACTGGAGAAGAATACAATCACCCTAAAGCATCCTTGCAATGAGGTTAAATTACGGTTTAGCTTAGAAAAATTCATTAATGAAAATTATCTTTTTATCATGATTTACATGCTTGACTATTTGGGCTTTTTCTAATCCGAGTCCTAAGAGAGGTGATTTGGAGACTAAAAGAAAAATTAGTCCCTCACCTAATGTCATTAGGTCGTTAGAGCCCATTTGAAAAGGTAAAAATTAGGGCTAAAAGCCCATTGCATATTAAATTCTAGTCCGATAAAAATTCAAAAAGAAAATAAACATAGGCTCGACCCAAATTCACCTACCAAATCATAAAAAATAAAATAATTCAGATAAAATTACAAGTCCGTAATAACTAAAAAAAATTGACATGAGCCTAGAGCCTACATCACCTACCATGCCATTTTAAAATTAAAATTATGTCCAAGGCTAAATTAAGAGCTAAATCTACAAGAAGAAGAAATTAGTAGCACCATCAAAAAATTAAAATTAACTAAAACAAAATAGCCATAAAAATAAAAATAAAATAAAATAAAATAACAAGAAAAAGTTCGTAATTAGAACAAAGTCGATCTTAGGTCCTAAACCTACTCCATCTACATTGACCTAGATTGACATCACATAGAATAAACACACAAGTGCAAGACATAAAAACATGTAAAAAATAACAAATCACATAAAAATAACTTTATGAAAAAAATAAAAAGAGCTAATAGGCCTCCACAAGGTCCTCGACTTATAAATTCAAATTTATCTTATTTTAATTTTCAAAGAAAAAAATTGTTGGCCTATTGCTAGCTTCATCATTGATCGACAATTCCTCGTGGACTTTTTATATAAAATATATGCAATATGCCATCTTTAAACTCTTTATTTTTTGAAAACAATAACAATATATATATATACAAAAAAAAAGAAGATAAA